TACCACTGTGCTTAACAAATAAACCAGGTGGCAAGAATTAGGACACAAAGAATGACATGTTCAGAGATTTAATGTATTCCCCAGATAAACTGGGCACTAGTTAACTTGCCAATGAGAATCTGAATCTACCACAACTTTCCTATATGGAAGAAATGCAGACACTTCTAGTGAGAAAAGAAAAATATTCCCAGGAGAAGTATTTTCCAGATGCCAGTGCCATCATCAAGCTGTGTTAGCATCATCAGAGGTATCATCTTAACTACTGGTTTCTTAGATAAAATCCCTAAAGGGATTTCAGGTAAGAAAGACAAAACTATCTTACAGTTGGACTCTTGTTTTCACCATAATAAAGATTATGGTGCAGTTCTTAGGAGATAAGCACAGCCCCAAATGGGAAATCTAATACAGTGTTTTCACACCACTAAAAGATTTCTCCATATAGAATCTTATCTGAAACATATTGCCTTTGGAGACTAAAATCCAATGCATATATTCAATCCCCCTCCTGGCAGAATTATCCAGACATCCTTACTTCAGCCATGGCTGTTCTAAACACCAACAATTCAATACATAAAATTACAAGACAAGCCTTAGTTCCGTGGCCTTGGAAATAAGGTAACTTTAAAAAAAAATGATCCAAGTTTTGGATACAAATATAGTGGAACCTGCTCATAAGGAACCCTGTTATAATGAAAATTAATAAAAGTTCTACATTGTTCGACAAGGCAACATACACATTTCAATTCCAGTTAGCATGAACTTATATAGTGCAGTGAACCTTTGGGGAAAAAAATTACTTTAAATGTAAAAGGGTTCATTCCATAAACATCAGTTTGGCTAAGGATGAAACATACTTTCCCCAACCAAAAGTTTAGTCAAGGTCCAGACTCGGTGGGCCTCACAGACCCACTCTCCCACAATGGTGCCCTTGAGTTCTAGGGTTCTGTCAGACATTTATCAGTAGCTGATGACTGGTTGTCTGAATTTATTCCTAGACAGTTACTTAGGAAAACATCAGGCCTGAAAGACACTAGAGAAATCATCCACCACAATAATAGGAAACTGGATTCCTTTGAGCTGAACTGTGGAGTAAATTCTGCTATATAAGTGACCAAACCTCCTCTTTAATTCACCTGAGAAATCCACACACTTGAGAGAAACATCCACTAGGCTCACTCAGAGAGAGATATTCAAACCACTTTATCACTCCCCCTTTAGTAACATGGGGAGAAGTCCCCTTTATGAGCCGAAACAAGTTGATGGAAGAACTTAATCAAATGCAAAAAGCCTGGGGAAAAATCTTTATTGATATGAAAAAACAAACCAATGAAACAGGAATTCACTTTGTTCTGACTTCTAAAAGCACGGTTTTGAGGTGGTCGGAATACAACGAACATCCCGAGGAAAGCCGTCTATATTTGTAATGTCCCTAACTTGTGGGCGCTAGGGAAGTTAACATCACTGCATGCTGGAGCTATGAAACAAGAAGTAAGCCACTCATTTCAACTTCACATAGTAATCTCAATTTGGGATGATAGAACAGAGAAGAGAAAGGAAAAAAATCTACTAAACTCTTGCCATTAAAAAAAAACAACTTCCATAATTGTGACCAAGGACAGGACTTCAGTAAAAGTTACACTTAAAAATGTTTCAATAAAATCATCAAATCTCTTTCTGTCAAATGATGGAACTATCTATAGCTCAGTTTAAAAAGTTGCAGCTGGACATATGTATTCCCCTGATAAATTTTCTCTTCCATGACTAGCAGATTCACACTAATCAACATTTTCTTCAAAGTAACCTGTGCAAGAACCATTGTGTGAAATAAGGATATTGTGGATCCTGTTTATCTTGCAACATCTAATAATGTACCAGAAATTTTGCATACTCAACCTGCTGAATGACATGTAGCTAGTTTAAATGAAAGCAAATCGAGAAATACTATGTGAAATACTCTAGAGAAACCATAATACTCAGGTGCATTATTTGTGAAAAACAGAACAATGCAGCCTCGGTGTTCACCCATATGCTTTGTAGTGAGAAAAAGGAGCTAGCCTCCCCAGTTGCTAGCATTATGGTGACCAGACCACAAATGTGAAAAATCAGGACAGGGGGTGGGGGGGCAATAGGAGCCTATATAAGAAAAAGACCCCAAAATCGGGACTGTCTTTATAAAATCGGGACATCTGGTCACCCTAGCTAGCATTTAGATTTCATAGCTCTCTCCCCTCTCCTACCCCATATTACACTCAACCCCCCAAAACAGGCATCTGCAGAAGGCTACATATTGTCTTCTGGGCGTTGGCAATTTTACCAGGGAACAAATGAAAGTGCAAGTGGAAGATGGGACTGGGGGACATTTTCAGTTAGGTAACTTTATTGTCTGAAACTGTACACAGCCTCCTGTAGAAGGAAAGTACACAAGACTGACAGCTGTGCCACAGAAACCAATTAAAATCAATACAACACAGCTACTGAGCTGAGAGCTGAAGCGCAACTCAAAGTAAAGGTTTCAACATTAAATTATTGACTGGAAATACCTCTGGTAAAATGTTGTAGTTGAATTGAAAACACTATACTGGTCTTTCTTGTGAAACAAAACTTAATGAAAGTGAAATAAAACAGCCAAGGAATTTCTTAGAGGATCTTTGAAAGTGGTGCCAAAAAAATCCGGTAATAAAATCTAGAGATAATTTCCTTGTAAGAATAATTAGATGCTGATTTGCAGATGGTGATTTGGATAGAATAAGTTATAAAATTGGAATTTCCATTAACAATATTAAAATACCTTGCTGAGTAGTAAACTGCACCTTGTTTACACATCTATATTAAAGTATGTATTCTACACACATATACAGTATATATACACACACACACACACCAAAATTTTGATACACTGAGCAACAGATGCTGTTCATCTCTCGCTCGCTAATAACCAGTGTTGTCAATAAAGTTTGGCTTCTACAAGCTGAAGACATTATCATTACTCAGAATGATCTGGAAGCAATCCTAAAGTCATGACAAAGTAAATTGTGTTTCACCGTATTTTTTTTCCCGCTGGCTGTGAGAACACACAGATCAATACTCTTCAGCATGAGAATTCCACACTGAAATTTTCATTTGTTACAAACAGCAACAAAAAGGCCCTAAGCAAGCCCTGTCACTTTCGGTTTAGGAGGAAATGCACTAATAAACTCTTACCCCTGGGTCATCTTTGACAATGGGCAATACTATGCCAGCTCTTATTAAAGGTAATTCATATCAGTGGCCCAAAAATTTCCCTTAAAATTACCGTCTTTTGTATCCATGTAGCAGGATGTCAGCTTTAAAGTGCCACTGAGATATAGGACCTGTCATTATGGTTAATTTTCAGCACAGTTTTAACACCAGGGTAGCTGACCCCCAAGGGTATGTTTTTGGCTAACAAGATTTATTTGGTGGTTATCCAGACAAACAAGAAAATATATTACGGTATATTGTTTTTCAAATATAACAGTGAGCAACAAATCCTATACACCCATTTTTTATTCTGATGTCCAATAGACCAATGCATTGGTACAAAAACTGTTAGAGCAATTAAAGAAATTTAACTAAAATACAATAAAATAGCTAACATTCTTCAGCTTCTAACTCTAGAAAGTGCAATATATACTTTTTAAAAACCGGAACTTTTAAAATAATAGAATCTCTCTATATAAAATGTCTGTATTGACTAGATTGCTACTTACCATCAAGCTAAGATTGGGTCATAAAGCTGAGTTTTACTCTGGACTTCAATATTTTAACTTGAGTTTTCCAAAACTTTTTAAAAACTATTTTACTTTACTATTTTCTTGCACTGGAAAGAACTAAAAAACCATCAGTCATTTCTTGGGCAAATGTCCGTATGTTTTAGTTTCTTAGTTATATCAAAAATTAAGTTTTCATGTTGCCACAGGACTAATTTTATCACGTTAAAAAAGGAAATTATATAGTGATCCACTAGAAGAAACAATATGACTAATTACTGTACAAAACAGCAGGTAACATTACTAACGCTGATGGCTATTCAGCAAGGAAGTGGCAGGGCCCAATTAATGATGGTTTTTGTAATAATAATATTTTGCACTTCTCAATCACCTTTCACCTGGGAGTCTCAAAGCACATTACAAAAATATTAATTAAGCCTCACTGCAAATGTGTGAGTAGGTAATTGAACAGTTGAGTAAAGATAGCCACAGAAAGGTTAAATGACTTGCCCCAGATCACATAGCAAGTGAATTGCAAAGCTGGGAACTGAACCGAGTAGTCTTGAATCTCAGTCCTGTGTTCTCACGACTAGACCAAGTGCCTCTTTATCCCCCACCACCCCAAATTACAAACTCTAAGCCACTGCCAGACTTGATAAGCGCAAGTAAACCAACATAGTCACCTGAAGTCAGGAAACAGGATCACAACAGGCCAACTGAAAGAGAAAATTTTCACATCCCTTCTTTCTGGGCCATCAAGCTTAATTAAAACATAACCCTCCCACTCCCCAAGCATAAGTCATGGTTGCATTGCAGCAGGCTGCCATGCTTCTGAGTGGACTGAAATTCATTTAAAGTATTTAAGGTATTCTGGTATGGGGGTTGAGCAAATACACCATTGCTTCTCCTCTACCCCACAAAACATTAAGAAGTAAAAATTAACTTATTACAGTAGATACTTTCATATCTGTAAAATTATTTGTTAAATGTTAATCAGTAGTCATCTCAACCAATATTATCTAGAAGATAGTGGAAAGGAATATGGTATTTTACAAGCATTGCATTATTAGGCCTTTTTATAGAATCCCATTCTATGGAAAGCACTTGTCAGAAACGAAGCTGTCAAAACTATACAGCCACATTCATTAGTTTTATTTTATGAGGATGTATGTAATTTTATTGTGCTATCTGTTGGCTAAATAAAAGTGTAAATATGATGCATTGATGTTAAGGGTATTTAATTTCATAAAATGAAAACATTTGCAACTTTACCTCTCACAATAAGTTGAGCAAAATTGGACACTCCAGAGCCTCTCTCTGACTGAGTTACACAGCGATATAAATCCTGATCAGTTTTTGTCACCTCTTGCAACTTGAAGGTAGCAGCAAATCTTCTGTGATTGATATTTTTAGTTTGGGCGACTGGAATATCTTCTCCATTCCGTCGCTATAAATAAGAGAAAACAGTGCAAAGATATCTTATAAGAGTGTTTTTCCTCTTGACAAAGACATAAAAGTATCAACAAATATATTTTAAAACATCCAAACACAATCTCACCATGCTGAGTTTTCCATGATGGAAGGGTCTAGCAAAGAGTTTCCCCTCTAGAGTTGGGAAGCGTTCAGTCTTCCGCCCTTCCCAGGGTATATCTACACTACAGTTAAAAAGCCATCGTTGGCCCATGCCAGCTCACGCAGGCTCGCAGGGTTTGAATTAAGGATCCCTGAGCTCTGGGACTCTCCTACCTTGCAGGGTCCTAGAGCCTGGTCTCCAGCCCAAGCCCAAACATCTACATTGCAATTAAACAGTCCCTTAGCCCAAGCCCAAGTCAGCTGGAACAGGTTTTTAATTGCAATGTAGACATACCCCAAGAGGCCAAGCACATCACATCCATCTTGCATTGTTCAATAATGGGAACTTTTCACAGGAGATCCTAGCTTTCCAAGTAGCAGCATCACACTGTGAGAGTTGCATCACTGGGACGGCTTACTAAACTTTGTAAAGTTAAAACCAATTTATCAGTCCATTGTAAACAGAAGTTATACAAAAACTTGTGCACAGAGTTGCGGAATTTTCAACAGCTTTCTGGATACTGGTTTTGCCCTTTTATGCTAGTTCTTATGCACCAAGCACCCACTTCCTGAAATTGCACTGCCTGACATCAATCACCCTCCAACTAGAGCTGGTTGAAAAAAAGCTGTAAAAAAAAATGGAAAACAGGAATTTTTCATAATATGTTTACCGATTTTTGAATTTTTGAACAAAACACCATTTCTGAATATCAAAAAAATTTCAAATCAGTTCCATGGGTGACAAAAAACTGCAAAATTTTCAAGTGAATGTTTGTGTTCCATCTCCTCACCCCCAATGAAAATTAAATTTTAAATTTCATTGAAAACTCAAAAGTTCAAAAAAAAATTGACTAGCTCTAGCTCCAGCAGAGATGTTACCATCTCTTTCCCACAGACAGCATCCCCCTCCTAGTACAAGTGGATGCAGCTGTTTCTGAAACTGTGAGCATCATTTCTCATTCATCAACAGAGGCAATTATCTGTCCTGCAGCAGCATTGCCTACTCCTATGAAATCGCCACCTCAGGTAGAAATGTATAACTTCCCAATCAACCCCAGGAATAAGAAATATCACCCAAAATTTAAACTCAGAATTTCTGAGCACGAAGCAATATTGCTGGGCCATAAAGGCAGCAAATTGGAATTTAATAAAATTAAAGCCTCTGGCAAAAAAAAAGAAAAAGAAAAAAGGGGAAAGGAAATGAGTCAAAGCTGCATATGTATGTTTTCTGGGCTACTGGCATGTACTAGATCATTTCATTTTACATCTAACATTTATGGTCTTAGTACGGGGTTAGGTTCTCTATAAAGAGCTGCCCTCTCCTAATGAAAACACATACTGCTGTAAATTAGCCAGCTGTTAGTGCTGCCTCAGACTCACTGTAAAACTATTCATTTTTAACCATTAACACATTGAAACATGAATCTTAGTTTTTTCTGCCTTATAGCAGTCAAAATGCACCATTTCCCACACCCCATTACAACCTTGACCTGAAAGCTACCATTTATATACTCCTGACAGACTTCCACTCCCCTCAATCCAAGAAAATTCCGGTATGAAGAGCATTCCATCATCTTTATCAACAGCAATTTTATTGGACTGACTCTCCTTTATTTCATGATAAAAGTTTATATTGAGAAGACCAATTTAATTTCCTTTTCTGCTGTTATGTCAGAGATGGCATTGAGTCAACTGTGAAACCTCCAACTACCCCCACAGGCATGGCTCAGATTGCAGAAGAAAACTAGGAAATATTGCCAAATGAAACAGAAAAAAATGCATCTCCAGCAGAAGAGAAAACTCTGATCTGAAATACTACAAAAATATACTCAGATACCGCCTCTTTTTAAAGCCACCATCTCTTACATTAACACAACTCTCAAATATCTCTTTCTTATAGGATAGTTATCTGAAATTGTATCATGTGGTAAGAGCACAGGACTGGGTGTCAGGAGAGCTGGATTCTATTGCCAATTCTGTGGCTGACTCACTGGATGACCTTTGGTACATCATAGGTTCTTTGTGACTCAGTTTTCCCATCTGTAAAATGTGGAGAATACCTACCTCACAAAGGTGAAGTTAGGCTTAGTTTGCTAATGTTTTCAAAGAGACCCACAGACGGAAGGCACCATTGAAATGCAAACTATCAACAGTATTACTAAAGCTTATATTACCGAACAGCTATTACACACTTAAAGACTTCATGTTCCACTACTACTCAAGCTACAGTAAAAGCACTATGCAATACGTATCTCTTTCCTCCTCTTAGCTAGCTCATTGCATTTGAAAGCAAGATTCTCTACCTGTTTATTTCCTCAGTTTAAATCAGACTTAAAATGAATGTCTTGTTAGTCTACACACTGATAAATTATTTTTAAGTCGCCAGATCCAAACTTTATATTAACTAAAATAAATAAATTACACTGCAGTTTCCTTCCTTTCTACTTGTCAAAGCTTCCTTACAATCTATGTTCTGATCATCAGCCAGGGAGAAGGAAGGTGAAGGAAAATCATGTTCTTTCCCAGCACGTACAACTTGTCAGCCACTTATTAAGAAACACTAAAGATGATGAAAGTGTAGATTATGTTGACTAAAAGACTGAAATTTTGAAATACGGTATTACAGAAGACTGCAAGGCAACTCAGCTAGTTCAATGAGTCTATTCCTGAAAAGTGTTGGATGGCAGTAGAAGAGGAAAAATAAAAGGATTTAACATTTGTTGTTAAAATATGCTTTTAAGAAGTGTTCTTTACCTTTCCATGAATGCTATTTATTTCTCCAGCAGAGGGATTTTACTGCAGAATACAACTGATAAATCCCCTTTTTTAAAAAAAACCTAAATATAGGTTTCTGAAAAATACAATGCATTTTTTGCTTCAAAAGTAGAATTTCCTTACATTAAGGCACTTCCTTCATTTTGACTCCAATGTTTTTAAATTCTAATGCTCCAAACTCATTCTCCTTGACAGTGAAGAACTTTACATAGCCTGTACTGTAAAACAAATTAGTCTCCAAATGTTACAACTCCCTTATTAAAGCTGCTCTGCATGCTCAATGCTAGAAAAACACAATTAACTGGGCTCCTAATTTTAAACTGAATAATGAAGCACTTTAAAACAGTTATGGAATTGCCTCACTATCAATACACAGAAATTTAATTAGCTTAACAATTTTATTTACTGTTCACAACAAAACCTAGAATTGTCTTTGCTGACTGCATTAATGAGTTATCACTCCCTTATTTTCAGGATTTAGAATTGTTCGAGAATGGCTGGTGTCTGTCTCCTTTATACAGTTCCTTTACGCCTTCACTGTGCTTTAGATCTCTAAAACAGGATACCCAAAACAGTATTAACAAAGTCTAATCACCCAACTCAAAATGTGCCCATTTAAATTATCTTTGAAAGTGTTCCCCCGAGCTTTAAGCTCAGGCAACCTAAAAACTAAGGCTCCTGTTGTATGCACAGTGCCATAGACTATGCAGCCCTTGACAGACCCTCCATTACTGATTTTTTTTTTAAATTATACTACTACTTTTTACTAACAATTATTTATTAATTATTGTTTGTATTGCAGGAGCACATAGGACCAAGACCACATTGTACTGGGCACTGAACAAACAAACAACAAAAAGACGGTCCCTGCCCTACAACTTTCAATCTAGGTATAAGAGAAAACAGGTGACTATAGACCAGCGTTTCTCAAACTGGGGGTCCGGACCCAAAAGGAGATCACAAGGCTATCACAAGGGGGTCATAAGATCTGAGCCGTAACCAGGACAAGAAGAGCAGGGCAGCCACCCAGAACGCAATGTTGGGAGGGAGAGAGAGGAAGGGATAGAAAAATGCCAGGGAACAAATGGTAGGGATAGCCCTGCAACAGGCATGGTATTGCCACCCTTACTTCTGTGCTGCTGCTGGTGGCAGCGCTGCCTTCAAAGCTGGGAGCCTGGTCAGCAGCCGCCACTCTCCTGCCGCCCAGCTCTGAAGGCAACGCAGCAGCCAGCAGCAGTGCAGAAGGATGGCAATACTATAGTAATTTTCTATCACTTTTGTTGGGGTGGGGGGTGTCACAGCCTGAAATATTTTCAAAGGGGGGCCCAGCAAAAAAAGTTTGAGAAACCCTGCTATAGACAGCCTGGGGGAGCACAAAGATACAATAAGACGATATTGGTCAGCATGATAGGCTCCGGTCCCAGTACTCCAGCAGCCTAACTGTTGTCGGGTTGTTGTAGGGATCACAGCAAAAGAGTTTTAAGGAGAGTTTTGAAGGAGGACAGTGTGGTGACTTTGTTGCTGTTATGGGTAACTCCTCCCAAGCATGAGGAGCAACATCTGAGAAAGCACGAAGGTGTTTGTTTGAAAATTTAACAAGGGGACTATGAAGGCCAGCACCACTGGCGGATCAGAGGCAGAAGTTGACATCTTTATAGCATATAAGACATAAGGACAGTGCGGACAGACTGTGAACGGCCTTCTAAATGAAGAGAAGTAGCTTACATTTGGTGATAGAGAAGAAGGAGCCAGTGGAGGTATGCAAAGAGACGGGTGACATGGTTAAAGCAATGGACTAGGAAAATGATCTTTGGAACAGCATTTTGAATGAATACAAGAGGGGCAAAATTGCATTTATTGAGACCAGAGAAGAGAATGTTGCAGTAAATGAAACATAAGATAATGGCAGGCTGGATGAAAGTTAGAATTACATTGGAGTTAAAAGAATTAAAAAGTGTAATTTGCTAAAATTTCATTGAAGGAGGATTTTGATAGGTTGAAACATTCTCTGAATGTTACTTTTCTTCAATATGAGTGCAGTGAATGCAGCTTCTCCAGTAGGTGTGCAAAGTTTATCCCCATGTATATCTATCTATATTT